GATTTTTTGGTTGGTTGATTATGGTTTTGTCTCAGCCACATAGTATTTGTAGTCTTGCTTGGAAATGGGTTATAACAGAAATAATAAGATTGAAGTCTGGAGTGGGATTTGCCAGAGAGATGCAAATGTATTGAGTTCCAATAATCTGTAAGAGTATGGGAGTGTTTAGGTTTTAGTGGGATTGGGTTTTTGACATTCATTGACTGCTATGATTTATTCCAAGCAGGGCTTAGTTTGTATGTGGGTGGTGTTGGTAATAGTTAAGATAGTGAAAAACTTGAATTTTAGGAAGACTTTATGTATATGCATATGCCGTTTGCTCTTGTTAAAACTAGTTTTGCAGATGTGCCTGTCAATGTAGGAGAAACCTGTTAGTTTCAGTAGTTTAGTGGGACAAAGAAGTTGACAAAACTTCTATGCTGACCTTTTGTCCTTTGCCTAGGAAGAAACCTCTAATCTTGCCACTGCTGTTAGTGGAGGAAGGGGAAAAAAACCAACCACCACCCAAACCAGAAAAAAAACCCCACAACCCTGCAAGCTTTGCTGGCAGAGCCTGTCAATGTGTAACTTGGGTATACTCTGCCATTCTTAAGTGTTTATCCTTTTCAGTTGTTTAAATATGCAAATTAACATTCTGGAGACAAAATCTGTATCTCTGGTGATGTTAAACTATGATACTGGTCAAATCCCGTGTGTTAAAGTGTGGAACATCCAAATGAAAGCTTTTTCTCTGTCAGCTCAGATGTGACACAGAGCGCAGTCAGCTGTATCTTAGGAAATCCACAAGGTCTACTGGTGACATGGATTTCTGTCCTTTCTTAATCACAACCTTTTTTTTTTTCTCCCTACCCCTAACTAGAGACACCAGCTTCTTCTCTGTGACCTCTTGGGAGCTGGTTTCTATGGTGGTAGGGGATGGCTTGGTTCCCCCTTATTCCCTAGCTTCCCAAGGAGTGTCACAGTTAATGAGCAAACAAAGATGACAGTGGTGTTCTCCCAAATGCTCATGCAGGCAGCAGAGAAGCAGCTGTGCAGCAGATCAACAGGATTTACTGAGGGTCTCCCCAATGTTTGCAAGTGGTAGGAGTCAAAGGTGATGCTTGTGTGTGACACCTCAGAACTTTGCAGCTGTTGTGATCTTGTTGTGGAAATTAAATTGTACAAACCAGAGTGCACACTGCACCTGGACTTGGGACTTGCCTTTCCTCTTGGGTAGATCTTGGACTGGGCTGGTGACAGGAGTTTTCAGTGGGGAGGTAATGGGAAGCTTGCTGTCTCGGTGGGTGGTTGTACGGAGATCCTTGCAGGCTTCCTCGGTGAAGACAGCAGATGGCAGCATCCCCTTCAGTATCTTCAAGAACTCGGGCCGTAGTGCCCTACTGTTTTGCCTCTGTGCTAAATATGATGATCTGCTTCGGACCCCTTCCTAAGGTGTGCATCACAAAGAGATTTTTTTTCAGATAATCTGTTGTATTTGTTTGGTAATTTACTGCTACAAACAGTCATTGGAAAGCTGTAGGGGATCAGTTGCTTCAGTTCTTGATTGCCTATTGCTCTTTCAGCGCTGATGTGACTAGTAAAGATCTGGGCAATTCCTTAATTCCACTGCCATGAAGTTAACTCCTTCTGCTGACAGAGCAAAATTGTTGTGTTCCACATATGTTTAAGGCCAAAAGTTTCAATCAGGTGCCTAATGTCATACACCTAAATTCCATACATGGGGCTCAGTGTTTCTGACACTGTTCTTGGAAAGAAAATTCTATTTATGTCAATTAATAAAAATTTTGCAGCTATCTGCCAACTAGTAAAAAAGAAAACAAGGGGAGGATTTGTTTGTTTGGAGGGTTTTGTTTGGTTTTTTTTAAGTGGAGAACTATCAAGTATGGGGACTTTATTGCAGGACTTGAGAGGAACTTGTTGCAAAACATGTGGAATCTTGCTACGGACCTCCTAGGTTTAATACAAGGCAGTACCAGCTAGACCAGACAATACTGATTTAAATGTGCTTTGTTGTATAATGTGTGCATAAAACTCTATATGATCTCTACTGTAGTAGCTGCCTGCTTCTGTTCAAAGGAGATGCAAATCTGAGCCCGTTTCTCTGGCAAAACAGGTTGTACAAGAAATGAAGAGCGAGTTTCCTACAGTTCTCTACTCTTGTTTCCATGGCACCTACAAGAGATGAATTCTCCAAATGTTGTTTTTTTTCCTTAAGAGCCTGATGTCTTGCTCATGGTGCTGTTGTTTCTTCCAGGGTTGAAATGCAGAAGATGAGAGTGGTGAGGCCGCCTGCTGATGTAGCCAGGTACACAATGATCTTCCACAAACGAGACCATGGTAATGAGGAGAATGGAGAGAGGTGAGTCAAGAACAGCATTTCACCTTGTATTGTCTTGGTATGTGGCCAGGAGCCAGGCACCTGGGGGCCAAGTTCTTTGCTCCAAGCCAAACAGGCATTTTGTGGTACCCAGAGGCTCTGGGGGACACCCCTATGGCACCACTTCACAGTTGGTAGCTGTTGTTCTGTGCATGAGATCTGCCTAGAATTGACTGGGTGATGTTCCTTAGAAACTTTCAAAGTTATAGTTACACAGACTTGAGCATATGGTTTCAGAGATTAAATGGCTTAAACCTCCTCCTTTACAAACCAGAGGACATTTTTTTTCCCATGTCTCTCTGTGTTGAGGACAGCCAATGCATGACTTTATGTTCCCAGTAGATACAGAATGGCTGTAGCTCTGCTTCTAAGTTTACTAGTAGAAAAGAGCTCAAAACTTCTCTCCTATACATGTCAGTGAAGATTTTCTCCTCTTTGTCCTCAGGATGAAGCTTCTACGTCAGGTATCTAGGACATGGAAAACAGATGGGCTGAACTCTTGTTCATATAAACTGCTCTCAGTGGAACATAACCCTTTATACATCAACATCACAGTGGATTTCAGCATGCAGCCCAAGATCTCATAAGGGCGAGCACCACAGGTTCTAGGAAATGGCAACAGATGGCATTTGTGGTTGCTGCTAGAGCAGATGACTGCTGACACTCTGCTTGAAAGAGTACTTCAGTAGCAAAGAAGAACATTTTTCTTCACAGCATCTAATTGATTGGTTGAGAATTTCCTTTTGCGAGGACTGGAGATATGGACTGACCCAAGGGACAAGTCCTCGTGTTTTTCTATGCACTTTCTACTAGGACACTTGCAAAAGTGTCCTTGTTTGGGCTGGTTCAGTGGAAGAACTTGAACTAAGTCTCCTGAAAATTTTGTTGCAACTATTCCTAAACAACTTATTTGTTGTAGGAGGAAGGCAGCCTAGCACTGCCAACACTGTCATGACTTCAAAAGGAACAGGCCGGTCTTTAAAAGCACAAGCGTTCTTCACCAAACTTGCTGAGAAAAGCTAACTTTTTCCAGCCTGGGGAAAAACTGCTTATGTGTGATGGAAGGGCAGTAATGGCAATAGGTGAGGAGATGTTAAAAATCTCTCAATAAACACACTCCATTGAATTCAAAATGCTTCTCTTGTCCTTCATGAGCTCAGCTCACCCTGCAGTGTCCTGTGGCAAAATGAAAGTCTCTGTTCTGCAGTAGGCTGCAGGCTGTGTGTTGCACTGGAGAGGTCTGGAAGGAAGTAGCCAACTGCGTCAGATGGAAAGAAAGTGTTATCGACATTTTTTAATGCAGAGTGCATATTTGTATATATACTCAGGCCATTATTATGTGTCATTCTTCTTTTAGAAGATTGGTGAAAGCCTGTGGTTAACTAACTTCCATATGCTGCAGGAGTTCTACTAAAATCTTCATTAGAGCACTCCTTACTGTGTTATATCTAACTCTCCTTATGCCAGCTTGTTGGATATGCATCCCGTGGAGGTAGATGTGAAGCCAGGGTTGGGAGAGTTTCTTTTAAGGCATTAAAAATTACATGACAAAAAGCAACTTCTGCTTACTAAAGTATTGAAGAATGATTCTCTAGCTGGTTGATGCATTATTCCAACTGTAGAGAAGGCTGAAGCTTTAAATAAATTCTTAGGTCTTAGTAGGATAGATGCAGCTTTTCAGTGAACAGGAAATTTTAGTATTAAATAACAAGCAAAAATACCCTCTGTCCTGCTTGTGAAATAACTGGACCTGGTGCTACTGACTGACCCTATAGAGAAAAGAAGATTAGAGGAAGGTTCTTGGAGCAGACCGTGTCAGTCTCACAGTCAGGTGAGTACAAATGCATTCCTGCCAGGGTCACAGTTCCACTGTTGACATGTTTGACTAAGTTTTTCCTCTGCTGTTTCATTCCTCAGAAGTATTTTATGTTGAAGACAGATCAACCTTGAAAGATAATTAATGTTTGGGCAACAGCTGAAATACTAGATTAACTTCCCGATTCTGAGTAGGAAGTTAGACCAGGTGACAGGCTCAGGTCCCATTCAGCCTGAATTACTTATGGGTACAGTAAAAACATTTCAACACCGGTGGATCAGGCCAGAAAAAACCAAGGACTTCAGCTCTGGTTTTGTCTGATTTCAGGTTGACTTTCTCCTTTATTACACTTTTATTAAATAACTCAATTTATTTTTAACAAAATTCACAAAATATATTTACAGAACTGTAACTGGCTTCAACACTTTCTCAAAATACAGCACTTCAGAGGCCCATCTGACAGAATGGCTTGCATCCCAATTAACAGTTAAGTAAGAAGCAGGACAGAGCAATCCAGCAATGGAACAAAAAGTCAGCTTACTGTCAGGGAGACCTTGATCCAAGGCTTGAGGGCTGAGAGGTGGGTCTGACTCAGTAGTTAGTTTTACAGTAGGCCATGTTTTGTTTATTAGCTATCATTCCCTCTCCCTGAAGTCTTTTCTTCTAAATCTTACACAGTTGGAAGAAGTTACATGTATGAAAGACGAAAGGAATTGGTCTCAGGTGGTGGAGACTCCACACCACAACAGGAGGTAGAGGCTGAATGCCAATATGCATGCTGCCTTGCCAAGCCCAAACTCTGCTTTTGTTTTCATTCTCTTAAGAAAATGGAGGAACATACCCAATGTCCACAGTGATGTTAGTATAAAGAGGATGCTTTGTCCTGGAAAGGAGCTTGAACTGTAATGAATTCATTCCATCATCCTTCCATGTTTTTCTGGTGTTGTGTCGGGAAGCGGGCCTGAAGAAGGAAGAATACCTGCTGTTAGAAGAACAAAGGTGATGCTTGCAGAGCAGGCAAGGGCTTAGCACCTGGAAAGCTGCTAGCAGAAATTCTTCTCACATAATGCAGACTAGAGAGGGAAGGCATTTTATAAGACCAAATAGATTAGAATACTCAGTATGAACTTACTCTAAACAAGGAAGACAATTTGGACTAGAACTTAATCAGACCGGGAGGTGGCAACTACAGTCTGCAAAAAAAAAAAACCACAAACAAAAACAAAACAAGAAACTGGCAGCAGCTTAGAGAGACCTAGGAGTGCAACAAAGAGGCTTGCAGCACTGGTGTACATAGCCTGCTGTAGTCAGGTTTTAAGACAGGGTTGTTATGGAAACGTGAGGTTTGAGATGATAGAGGGAAGTCTGTGCTGTCAGTATGAAACACCTCCACCACCCTTGACACAACACGCTCCTCCAGCTTTTTTATATAAAGCTGGGTCTTTGTTAAGGTCTCTCATAGCACCTTCCTTGCGTCTTCAAACTCGAATACTGCTTTCCACTGATCTAGTGGCACACTGTAAATCCACACAGATTGAAGAGCAAGTTTTTATTATAGGAACACTAGCAAAGTGCCTCTTCAAACTGACCTCTGTATTTATACAATAAGCAGTATTTTCTTTGAAGTTTTATAATTTCATGCTCAAGTCTGGTATGCGTATTAGCTTCCTAGCTAGCACATGTCCTTAACAATCAGAGAAACCCTTCAATGCTGAGACAGGAGCAGTGTTACTCAGTTGAAACTGACTGGGAGCCTTCTTTAAATACCCACATTAAAGAAGAAAAAGAAGAAAAACAAGCAGTGACATTATGTATACTTTCCAGCTATCCTGAGGAAGATGATGGTAACAGTCAACCTGCCACAAGACAAAGAGTAGACTCCCAACTGCTCCTCCCTGCCCTCCCAAACAAGTTACCTTCTCCAAGGCTCTGGTGTCTCTGTCTCTTTATTGTAGTCCATGACTTTGTAGCGTCCAAGATGAGGTGACGTACGAACTATTTTCATTCCGGCTAACCGAATCCTTGAAAACAACAAACAAAATCACAGAATCACAGAACGTTAGGGATTGGAAGGGACCTCAAAAGATCATCTAGTCCAATCCCCCTGCCGGAGCAGGAACACCTAGATGAGGTTGCACAGGAAGGCGTCCAGGTGGGTTTTGAATGTCTCCAAAGAAGGAGACTCCACAACCTCTCTGGGCAGCCTGTTCCAGTGCTCTGTCACCCTCACTGAGAAGTTTCTTCTCAAATTTAAGTGGAAAATCTTTCCTTAGGCATCAAGATGCCATTTCTAGGCTTAGTCATAAGGAAGTTCAAAGTCAGAGATGATCTCCTGTATTAATGCAATCAAAGCAAAATGCAGAAGCTGAAGGGAACCTGTTTAATGACACAGTGCCCCATGATCTTCTCTAGCAAGTTCTAACCGAGCTTGGACTAGAAAGCTGCAGCGTGCTTTGACAGGGTAAGAAAGGATTATAGCATACAGGGACCATGATCCTGAGAAATGAGCATTATTTTCACTTCTTTGTAAGAGCAGAGCTTTTACTGCCTAGAGGTCTATCAACCTAAACTTAAAAAAAACCCAACCAAAAAAAAAAAACAAACCCAAACTTTCAGTTTCTGCAAGGAAGTCAGTCCTGAGTTTCAGATCCAGATTGAGTTTCTCCCTGTTCTTTGAGAAGTGCCATTCGTTCAGATGGCCTCATTAGAGGACTGGCTTCATAAGATTAGTGATAAAGGCAGGCACCAGACAAACAAGTGTAAGCTGCTCAGCTGCAGGACAGTTTAACAAGAAAAAAGTGAACTGAAGGCTCAAAATTCCAAAGAATTCCTAAAATCCAGCATTTTGAGTGACTTTGAAGCAAGCAGTTACTGATGGCATCTATGTTAGTTTACCAATAAGAAGTGCCTGTACTAGTGCTAGGGCTGTTCAATCCGCTGTTATCACAAGGCAGCTCTTATGCAGAGCAAATTCCTGCAAATATAAGAATGAATGTTTGCTCAGTTGAGGTTATCTAACTGGCATGTTTGCAGCACTTGATTGCCTTCCACTGAGATCTGATACAGCAACAAGCTGCACTGAAGCAAGAATGTTATAAAGCTGAAAGGGAAAATATCTCTTAGTCCAGAGCCATCAAATTATTACATCCCTTTACTGACAGTACGACATACTATTATTTCAGACTGCGTTTTAGACAAGGTTTCTTGTTTTCTGAACATAAACTTATTGCACATTCAATCAAAAACACAAGAAAAAGCAAGAACACTAAACTACCTTTGCTGTTACAGTTTTTGCATTGCAAGATTAAAGTCATAATATGAAAGTTAATATATTCATCTACTGTTAAGAAGAACCCAACAGACTTATGTGTTAGCATTATCAATTACAGGAAAGTGGTTCTAATTAGTGTTTTCTTCCAGTAAAAGGTAAATCCTGGTGTTTGCTAGGACTAATATTATAGAGTACTGCTGTCTACCAAGTACAAGTAACAGCTAGCATTTTTTAGCAGTATCCCAGCATAGTAAGATCTTTACACAGGACTTTTTGACATGTCAATGCCAAATTTCAAATACAAATTAACTTCGTTGCTACACAGTAATAATTGCTGAGCACCTCCTAAAATCCAAATCCCAGTAGGTGCATCAAGCTGGACCTTCAAAAACTGCCAGCTCATTCCTGACTTCTGCAGGTTGGGACTTAGTGTATGAGTAAATCATTAACAGGCACTGTCCGTGGCCTCCATATACCTATGTGCCACAACACTGCTAATCATTAGTATAAGTTTTCAGAGGAACACATGATTTACTTCCCTTCAAGAAAAGGTTATTTTGAGATCTATATAACCTACTTGTCTGAAGAGATTTCTGTAAGGAAGTGTGCTCTCATGCATAATTGGCATGACCTCTACCACTGGTACTGAAAACCACATTACATGCCTAAGCTGTACTAAGAACAGCTGAACAGATGCAGCATTGTAGTGTTGGATTTAAAGATCTATTTTCCTGGCATTCCATTCCTTTAGTAAATGCTGAATCTCTAAACAATTATGCACCTTTTTAGTTAGCTTTCTCTGAAAGGAAAAGGAGGAAATCTATGTTAGAAAATCTGACTTTGAATTCCCAGAAGAATACTGCTTTATAAAAGCTCCCACAGTCCTCAGACAGAACATTCCACCTAAACTGTGTAACTTGTCACACTGTGCAAGACCAAAAAAACACACTAGGCTTTTATTGTCAGTTTAGTTTTATAAACTCCCCATGAGCTTGCCTCAGTGCAGGATGAGAAAGATGCACAGCACAACTACAAAGCTGAATAAAGGAACCATGATTCTGTACTTGAAGAATTCACATCATGAAGAGTACCTAGGACTAAACTCATTGTATTCACTTCTATACCATGCTGTTGCTATGGCAACTAAAGAACAAGAAAACACATCAGCTCTTGCTGTCACTGACTCACAGGAGCACACAGGCTTTTCCATCACCCAGCACTGAAGACAGACGTTAGAATACATTGTGTTCCTTAATTCCAACTATAGCTGATTAGGTAATACATGGAGCAACCTAGATGCACTTAGCATAACTTCAATTCCCAGCTGTCTGAGAATTAATAAGTACCTTCTTGGATTTCTTATCTGTCAGGCTTAGAGACTGTTGACTACTGGTGGTTATAACCCCTTGGACGCACTCCAGAGCAGCTGAAGGCATGAGGATGTAAAGTAACATTCTGCCCTCCAGAGTCTGAGGAAACCTTTGTTCTGCCAGCATACAATGATTGGATTCACAGATTCTGAGCATCTTCTGACATTAACCATTCCCAGTGCCAACAGCATTTTGGATTATAATGATACTGCAAGTGAGTTAAGGAACCACATCTTAGTTCCTTTTGTAGAGTAATGCTACATGTTTCACTAGCCAGCCTGGTTCTATTTTAAACCTGTCTTGTGCATTAGTACCTTGTAGCAATGTCATCATTTTCACCACCACTGTCCCAGTATGTGTTTGGAAACCCATTCATCTTCATGTAATGTTCTGGAGTCAGAGCAGATACACCTCCAAAAAAGGACTTATATGGCAGGCTAAAAGAGAAAGAAAAGAAAAAAAGGCATCAATATTGAAGGCTAGTATCAGTCCTCCACAGACAAACATGTGATCCAAGTAACACGTGTTAATCGCGTATCTTACAGTCATGACAGTGCCACAACCCAAAAGAGCAAAACCACTGTAATTTCATCACACGTTGTCCCTCCTCTCTACCCGCAGACCAAAGTAAAGCTGGTTTTGAAATTCACATCTTGGGTTATTGTTAAATCCAATTCAAAAATACCTGCATACTATCACACATTTTCCACTATCCAGTAATTCCCACTCTATGCTTTCATTCTGGAAGGAAAGGCAAAGAGAAATCTGCCACTCATTTGCCAAGCTGGGCTAACAGTGCAACAGGAAACTGCTGGCAAGGAACTCTTCAAGATTGCGTACTAAGGTCAAGAAAACCCTTTTCTGGGGAAGCCACAAGTGCAGAACAAACAGAAAACATCTCAAAGGTTGTATCTTTCACTGTCCCCTTTCATACTTTCTGTGCAGAAAGTGAACCAATTAGGATACGTACATCCAAAGCAAATGGAGGCACTTACGTGTACTGAAACTTATCCATGGCACTAGCCATATGCTTGGGACTGTATTCATCGCAAACGTAGAGATTGTAATCATTCTCTGGTACTAGGTCCACATCGTGCAGGAGAAGGCAGTCCCAGTCTTCATCCTTCAGGGCTTCCCGGACACCAACATTAAGCAGCTTTGCTCGGTTAAATGTACCATTCCCCACCTAGAAAAGAAAACATATATTTCTTCATCAAAACAAAGAGGATAACCCAATTCAGATTTATGTTAGCATAAAAGCCTTATTCAGTTGAATGACACTGGAATGAATCAATACTGGCTGCAAATTTCATGCCCCAGAGTGTGAGTTTTACCCGCTCTCTTCACAATATTCTCAGCAATTACAGCAAAAAGCAGAGGCTATATACTGCAGGCACCTGAAGAAGGCTGACTTTTAAGAGACCAGCAAGTCAATCCTCAGGTGTACATCTACACATCAACAATTCTGCCCTGACTACTGCTTATTAAATCTCAGAAATGAGAAAACATATCTTGGTCACAAACAGAAAAGCTTCTCCCTCTTAGTCAGCTATAGGTTTTAATTAACGAATCCAAAGCTTGCTCTCTCACCACTGATCTTTTGCACCAGTCCACGTCAGTTAAAAATGGCTGTTAGACCTGCAAAAGTTGCCCCGCAGCAGAGTCAAGCTGGGTATTTTTATTTGATACAAACTAAAAATATCCAACTTCACTTCAACATTTAGTCTCAACAATTTTGCTAACCTTCAACTCTTAAACAGCTGAAAATACAAAGTTACCGCTTAATGACAACTTTATCCCTCTACAAGCTAAAATGGAGAGCAAATCAATAGCAGAGTTACGAGCTTGACAAGTGATATGATATTTCAATTCTTATCAGCCATGGAGATGGGACTGCATATAACTGACTTGCTCTGAACTCATGCATGAAGTGGTACTTCTACATTAGAGGAGTCACATTTTTTTTGTCAGAACTTAACCCGTAACTGGGAAGCTCAGCAACACCACCAGACACAGCTGATTTAGATTTACCTGCTGAATCAAGTAGATACTGTAACTGAGCTGCTGGCGCTGCAAGAAAGGATGAATATAGTAGAGAAGATGGTGAAGGTACTTCTCCTGGTTCCTGTAGGCTACAAGGATGGCTGATTTGTAGCGGGCTAAGCAGTGAGGTGGCCTGTAGTGGCCACCAGGCTGAACAAAAGGATTTTTTCTGATGATCGTTCTTTCACTAGGGAGCACCCTGAAGGTGATGGTTAATGGACCAACTGTAAGGAGGAAACACAAAAAGTCAGATCAGTGATGTTTCTCAACCTGCCAGAGAGCCATCCCAAGTCCCAGCACAGCCAGCAAGCCTCACTGGGCTCCTGTGCAGCTTGATTTTTCCTGCAATTGCCTCCCCACTACACAAGCAAACCTCCTGTCCTGTGCTGCTTAGATGAGATCCATAAATGTATTCACTGTGAGGACAGTGCTGAAAATGAATCAAGATGGACAGACATACCTGCTTTTGCTACTCACATGGAAAAAGTCTCTAAGCTGCTTTCAGAGGAGAGTCAAGGAAAAAAATGTCCAAAAGAATATTCAGCAGGTTGGGAGAGAAATAGTTTAAAGCCCAGATGAATACAAACACTTCAGGAAATATTAGCTTAAAAAAAAAGTTTCAAGTTCAATTTGATGTTATAATCACATGCCACAAGGGCTGTATTTGCTATATTGTTTCATTATATACACAGTGATAAACAGTGTGAAGGTTTTTTTCATAGTTCATTTAAGTAATAGATTTTAATCTTGTTTTGCATTTGTGGTTTATTTTCTTAGAAGTTGACAGTGGTTGGAAACTATTAAGACACACTGATTTGTGTAATAACAGAACTCTTCTGCTAGTTCTGGACCTTTTCTTTTTCCTGGAACCTTTTCTCACAAGCCAGAAGGACAGACATTTAAATAACTGTAGAATTGGTTTATTCATACTGTTACAATATGAGACTTGTGCTAAAATGGGGATTGACACTTTATATAGATTCTTTCTTACTTGTGACTTGTCAAGATTTTTCCATATAAGAATGGAAGAACTCAGATAAAAACATATAATAATGGGGTGTTTTTTTAATTAGGTAAAAACTGGATATGTTTTGCATTTAAACATTACATATTTTCAAGAAAAGGTGCAGGGCAGCAAAAGAAATATGTATGATAGTTCCTCTACTCAGCACCTCGATTTTAAATGCAAAACATATCCAGTTTTTACCTAATTAAAAAACACTCCAAGATTCTGCACTCACAAGTAAAAGCTGATGATTTCAAATGTGAGTTTTAAGTAGCACCAACAATTCTCTGCAGGCCAGGGAGCAGGGAAAGATACGAATGTGTCTTAAGTCTAAGTATTTAAGCAGGTGAGTCCAGAAGATACTTCTTACTCCCTATCTTATGTTCAAATCTCTGCTACAATTCTAACAAAAAGAATGGAGCCTGTGTTTCTACCCACATCCTGTTTAAATTATACAGAAAGAAGCAAGATCCACTTTTTTTTTTTGAGCACTATCAAGGCTCAGGGACTAAATTCAATGTAAGATTCAGACTGTTCATTCAGAAATGGGAAGCATTTTGCTAGTATATGTCACATTTTTGATGGACAAAGCTATACTTGGTAAGTGTCATGTTTTCCTCCTGAAGGAGCACACATAATGGCATTTCCTGAAGGTCATTCTGAACAGCCACTGATCCCATTCCTCACGCTGTGAAAAAGGTTTAGCCGCTGTGAATCCTACTTCATGGTTTGTTTATGTTGGTTGGTTGTGGTTTGTTTGTTTTTAAAAGGAAAACCTGAATTTTGCTCGTCAGCAAGATCTTGCAATTGTTCTTCAGTATCCTTTTCCAATCCTTCCCTAAGAAACTAAAGTGCAGGGGGAATTTTATTTTGACCGTTACCCTCAGTAGGAATCTGGAGTACATTGCCATATCTTTGTACCTCAAACAGAAGAGTAGTTCATCAGGGAATCACGGTGTGGGCCCATGAATCTAGGTCACATTTACTGTTAAGATTTTATGATAATACCTACTTCCACGCAGCTTCCTGTTTGCCTTTAAGACCACCACATTTCAGTGCAACATTGTTTTTAACCTGTGATTTATGTTGCTTTTTAGATTTATGAACTCCTTGATTATCAGGTCTTTTAACTAAAGCACCATTAACCACTGATTTGATGACAACTGGAGCTTGCTAACAAAATGTTACATTCAGTAATCTTCAACTCCAGATCATTGCTCCAAGGAAAATATAAGAAAGGGAATTAATCAATTCTGTTCTCCCACAAAGGCAGGGTTTTGTTTTCTGTAATATAATTGTGGGTCTTTGTATTGCAGAATAAGATTCTGTAGCAATAATCCCTAAATTAAAAAAAAATCAAATCTAAATTTGGACATAAGGGTATGAATAATACCCTTAATAAGATAATGTGCAATCATTTCACTCCTGTTGTCTCCTTCCATATCCAAGCATATGATTCCTAAGGGTAATACCTGCATTTTTCAGGTTTTTCAAGATGTCATGTTCTCCTGAGCTGCCTGGCTCCATACCTCAAACAACTCAGCTCAGAAACTCAATCTACTATATGCCAAGAAAACACAGAAAAAAGAAGTTATGCTGTGACTTATATCCCCAAAACCTCTGGCTGCCCTATGCTCCTTGGCTATAAACTAAATTCTTGTTCTCAGGTCTTCTTCCTGCCCAACTAACAAAAAGCTAATGCACTGCAATCCAATTAAATCCCAGATGTGAGGAGAGCACAGCTCTGGGAAAGGAGGAAGAGCCCATCTTAGACACTCTAGAAAGCACAGAATCCAAATTCAGACAAGGTACAGAATCAACACCATGAAGCAACTGAGTGATTTCCCCGTAGCCTGGTTCCTAAGCTCTACCTGTGCCTGTACCACCACATGGAGGGTGTTTAATTAACATGAAACTTTAGCGTGTGGAGCTAAAATTCACAATTCTCTGTATGTATTGTTAGCTAGTGCCAGTGACAGCAATACTCCCTGCTTGGTTTACTTCCTAGGCAACTCATTTGACTATTGAGGTATCTATTGATTTTGACCAGATCTATCCCATCTTAAGAAAGAAACTACTTGACTTCTGAACTCCTTGCTACACATTTAGAGTTAGCAGAACTTACACAAGCTAAACAAATGGCAACAGTAGTATGGATGAACACCTCGCTGAGAAAGTGCAGCACCACAGACTACATAGTAGAGTCATTTGTGTATTTCTATCACTGTTTGAATGAACAAAAAATAAAAAAGGCAGACCAACAGCCTTAATTTAAGCACCAGTTTCAAACAACAGACTACATGGCTGCCTCAACTGAAAATAAATCTCAGCATTACCACCTTTCTACTTCTTTCAATTCAAGAGAAGAAACTCTAGGAGGAGAGCATCCATTAGAAGACATAGCAGGAGCTACTTATTATCACAACAGATGGTCACACTCATGAAAAGGTTATGACAGATGGGAGTGAAAGGGAGTAACTAGTATAATGGCTTGGAAAAAAAAATCTTCCATAGCATCAACATATTTAAAACAGCAGAGTTACAGACAATTTTTCAACTATTAAAGTTCTCAAGGGCCAAACCAACTCATTCAGCAAAATCATGCATGAAGAAATATACTACTTAAAGAAAACCCAAAAAACCCAACCCCAAATCTTCTAGCATCAAGCTTCTCGCTGGTAAGAGAAAAAGATGGAACCAAAACAAACACAGCTTGCATGCAATATGAGAAAGTCAGATTCTGAATTTAAATGCTACTTCATTAAGTTTGAGTAAGCACAACTCTAGCATATAAATTTGCTTTTTCCAAAAACAAAGGAGGAGGAAACAGGCAAGTGGTTATTTGTGCAGAAGCATAAACCTTTATGGGAACTTGAGTAATTTATTCACAACATTAATGGAGACACTGAGTATCTAGAACAATGCTTTTCAAGTTGTCAATCACAAAAGGTTCAATGGACACCACTAAGCGTTCAAAAAGTAACATTAGTCAGCAAGAGTCTTGTTCCTCCAAGGCAGAGGACGTTTAGCAATTACACTTTCTTACTCCACAGCCTTGGAAGAACCAAGATGCTGTCGATTCAGGAGGTCAGAAAACAACAGATAAGCTGCAAGCTGTTTTTAGATTCAAACAGTTATCAAACTGATCTACTACATAAGTGGAGAAAGAGCTGCACTTCATAAAAGCCCTGATGCAGAAACCATTTAAGCCATTTGGCATTCTTCCAGTTACTTTAACATGCTTTGGAGTGGACACAGTGACTTACTACCAGTTCTGAATCGGACATTAGAGTCCTCAAGAATTGATTTGAAGACTCATTTAATGGAGTTGATGAAATTAGTATTAAAAGGCATCATTCTCTCTGATATAACGCTTCCAAGAGACATCAGTCCCATGAGAAAAGATTATAACAACCAATGAAGACATTTATAAAGTATTTATAGAACTATTCATATGTGCCCATGACATACAAAACAAAAGGCAAGTACCTTGCAGCACAGCATGCATTTGTCAGGGGCAGGGAACGACACCCAGGCTGGCATGTAGTAATATCAGAAGAAATAACTTACTTTGTATACTTAAAGGGAAATATCACCAAGTAAAAGTTAAGTTGGAGGCAGAGTGCTTTTTTTCAAGCTGAAACTGTATCAATGCTCCAAGTGATGTGTTTCACAGCAACAATGTTTCGTATGCTCAAGTCTAACTTTTATGCAGCAAAACTTCCACTTTGCCTAGTAGTTTTTTCCTAACGTTCCATTTTCGTTTTAGCTCTGAAGTATCACATGCAGGCCAACTCTCTCTGTTCTCAGCACTCACAGGGATGGGCAGAAGATGTCTTAAGATTTCACAGCTCTAAGAGCATTGACTACTTTAGTGTAATTTTACTCTGTGTCTGCCTCCTCTATATAAGTCACTGCTCCTGCTTATCAGATAATTTGCAGGCAAGCTGCATAGAATTGCACTTAGTTTTGTTTGGTTTTCTTCTTTTTGTTTGTTTGGGGTTTAGTTTTGGGGGTTTTTTTGAGACCAAAGCTTTCTTGTTTGACTCTTTTCAGGATGGTGGATTCTCATCAGTAGTGGAAACAGGCAGCGTGCAGGTACATTTCTGCTGTGCTCTTTCAATAAACCAGTTAAGTCTAAAACACAGAACTGTAGCTTCCCAAAAGAACTGATGGGCTGTAGCTAGTGACGAACAGCATGACACAGCATTACAACTTGCACCAGTGCAAAATGGCTCTGTTCTATTAATATTTCAGTATTTACTTAGTAGAGCTGTTTCCAAGGGATATGCTGAAGCATATACCCCAAAGTTATCATCCAATTTTATCACATATGCCGCACACATTTCATTTAACTTCAGCAATAAAAGAAGGAAGAAAACTTCCTGAAAGAACAAGCATCATTACGAAGACTACAGTCTAAAAAGGCTCATCCAAAGCATCCCCAGCAGTTCTCCAACCAAACTAAGTAACTTGATGCAAGAGTAACCACAGCACTGGTTATCCACAACAGTTCCACTAGCGAACCAAAGTCAGCCATTTGCTCTCACTGTGCTTCACATGCAGTGAGCAGCTTTCCTAGAACAGCAGGGCAACTACTAAGTAGTGCTCCAAGACGAGTTATATGCAAGACTTAGATACGCAGAAACCTTTGCAGTATGGAAAACCAGACAAGAGTAACTTAACTACACTGTACTCTAAGAAGTTGTCATCCCCAAGCCAGCTGTAAGTGCATATTTGCAGAACTTATCCATTCTCGGCTGAGTCAAGCCAATTCACTATTACTGGAGATGCACCATTTCACTACCAACAAACTTGTCTTAGGGGTTTGACTTTGTATTTATTTAAAGTTTCTCAACTGTTTTAGTAATGCAGTAGATGGATGAACACTGCCTCTATCACCTCTAATTTTGTTCTAGTGTAAACACAAATTAACCTGTGACAGACTTTTAAGTCTAAAGGACAAGTTTCTAAGTCTAAAGGACACATAACAATCATAGGCCCAAAAGATCACCATGAAGGACAAGGCGTCAAGCTACATTCTTATAAAAACCATAATTAAAGCCAATTTAATCAATTTATATTGAAATATGGGCTTGATATAGAGTTGAGACCAAGAACCCACACGTTGAGTCAGAGATCAAAATTACAGTTACCGAAGTACAACTGTTAGAACATATTATACAGGACCGTCAGGAAAAAAAAAAGGTGTTACTAAGTTGGTATTAACACTATGCACAATTTTCACTCTTGTTCTACAATCTCTATGCAGCCAAATCCTTAATATTGCAAGTTTTTAGACCAGTAAAATACTTTTCCTCGTATAACCAATAAAAGATTAATTTACACAAGAAAGTTTTGTCAATGTAAGTACTACATCAGTATACCACTTTTAAAGAGAAGTTTGCAAAAACATACAACTTAGACTTACAAAGTGTTGAGCATTATCACGTACCAAAGCAGTGATTTCAAACAGTATTGGTTCATACCTACCAAATATTGGTGACTGCACTGAGCAGTAAGGCATAGCTTCTTCATTAGAAGCACGGGTAAACAAGCTGAGGTTTGTATACACATCATGAGTCTTTGAGTAATCCAGAATCTGATGCGAGTCTAAAAACCCATGAAACACATTTGAAGTTCCACCTCGGTAGAGTATCAGGATAAATATTGCTTGGAAGACAACCAGACACAGCAGAAAACAAGGATTTTCCACACGAGAGAGTGACATAGTTTTTAGCCCATACTCTGGAATCAGATCGGTGAGGGGTTTAACTGCCTTCCACCAGCTGCCGTCCTACGCTCAAGGCTACATGGCTGTGCGCAGACCTCTTCTTCAAACTTTCTGAGGCGGCAGCCTGCTCTTCTGACACGGCTTCCTCAGGACGCTTTCAGCCAACCCCGCGACAAGCTCTGCAAGCCGGAATGGAGAGAAAAAGCTGTTCAAGCCCATCCTGGACAGAAAAGCCCGCCAGGCAGCAGTGTAGGCGCAGCGGCCGCCCTCCCACACCCTCACGCCTACTACAGCCTTCCTGAGGCAGAAGCAGCCGCGGGCAGCACCCTTGGCCGACTCCGGGAGAGGGCCGACCGACCGCCCGGGGGCAGAGCGGCACCGGCCCGGCGGGGACGGCCCACAAGCGGCTGGGCGTGGGCAAGCTCGCCTGTACCACCCGCCCGCAAGCTCCCGGCAGCACGGCCTGCCCCCACTCCGCCCCACGCCGGGGTGAGGAAGAGATCGCG